ATGCGAACGTCAAAAGCAGCGTCGCATGTTAAACGCCATCTTGCGGCGTAGCCACGCACCGAGGCCGCCTTCCTTTGGCCGCCGTTTACAACGCATCCCCTCATTTCCGCTCGCCGACCGTCCGCGCCGTTTCAGACTCGTCCGCTCGTCGCCGTACTTACTTGCCACTCGCCGTCGCCGTTGGTCGCCGTTCGCCCCGAAAGCCCCGTTTCTATCTGTTTTTTTTTATCGATACCACCATTCCATTTTATACTCGCGCTCCGACGATCCTTCTTTATGGGGGTTTCGAATCGATCTCGAGATTGCGACGCACATTTGCGCGATTTTCTATCAAAATTAACTACAATTCTCTCGCCTCGTAACTGCATTAGCCAATCGTAGCTGATTGACCCGAGCGTTGATAGAATCCGTTAAATTACGATTAACGCTCGCTATTATCTATCATTCGTCTAGCCGTTTTAATCACACGCTCTGTCTCTCTTCCTCTCTACGCCTCGTTTCTTTTTTTTTTTCCTCTTTAAAGTCCATCGCTACGCGACGGGCTTTAAATCTATCCCTCTTTAAATCGATGTAGATAATCGAAGACAACGTTATTGTTAAACAAATGAATCTACATAGTTTCCGTAACTCGACGCAATCCCGTATTTCGGACTCGACAGAAACAACGTAACGCGACTCGCAAGATCTAATCGACGAACTCGCGCGACTTGATTTACCGTAATATTCAAACGATAAGATTGCTCTGGATGAGTTTTTCGCACTTTGGAGCAGAACAGACGGATACTCGGGCGTAGGGCGAGAGAAGGATGTCGATGACAGAGTGCAGATGGTGCAGCTGGGCCTGATTTCGGCCGCGTGTTTACATCGCGAAGTTATCGCGGAGCAGTTATCGACGGGACGGCCGCGATAGCGGCCATTTGCATTCGTGGAGTCGGTGACGGATCGCGGTCCGAATGGAGAGTGTACCGTCTCGATCGCGGATATAGCGTGCTCGGTGACCTGAGTGATCCCCGTCGTTCGTGGAAATGGCAAGATCGGGTAGTGACGTCTCGAGGACCGTGTGCGCGAACACGATTCAGGAGAACGAGAGGAGACTGTCTGTACCGTTTTTCTCCGTCGAGGACCTGCGTCTACAGCTCCGCTCATTTCTATCTTATTTACATTATACCTCGCCACTCGCATTATTATTAATCGCACGTATTAATATCGTCGCTAGGCTGAAATAAGAAACTTTCATTTTTCATATTAATGCTTTTCCATATTTTCGTTTTTTCCTCATATTTTCCTTCTTTCAGGGAAAAGGTCGAATTAGGCACGATCTGAACAAACTATTTAGCAAGCTCAACCAAGCTGTGGAAGCGAGCTCACTGAAATCTTTGGACAAATCGAGCCCATCGTACAACAAAAATGTAAGTATCATTTTTCTTATACTTATCTTTATATCATGACCAATGAAGTGTATATAGCGATACATTTTCGTGTGTTTCTTAAGATTTCGAGATGCTGGTATGGTCCAGTTCTGGGATTTCCACCTGGATCCTGGTGGGGCATACGCATGGACTGTTCCAGGGATAAGATGCACAAGCCTTTCAATGTTGACATACATGAGGGACCGTTTGGCGTTACCTCTGTATGTACCTCTCATACCAACGTGAATGAGGACGTGGATCTTGGTGATTATCTAACGCTCACCGGCCAGCAGGTGTATCACAAGGAACAACCCAGCGTGGATCCATTTATTCGCAACTATAAAAATCAAATACCATTGAGATTAATAAGAAGTTACAATCTGCAAGATAATATCGCGCCTAACACCGGATACAGGTACGATGGACTCTACGTAGTCATAAGCTGTTGGATCGGCGTGGCTTCGGATGGAACCAAGTACAACAAGTTTGCGTTGATGCGTCTCGCGAATCAAGAGTCGCCCAGCTGGAGCAGCAAAGGCTCGGAAGACCCGTCTTCCATGCGACACTGTATCCCATTGTCGAAGTCTAACCATCTAAACACGTATGACTTGAGAAAATGTTCTAATAATATCGGTGTCACCTGCCGAAAGCGAAAACTCAGTTATGGAGACAGTCGCGAAAGTCTCCCAGACGTAAAAACGATACCGTCGGTTGACACCAGCAGACGGTCCGCGCCCGAGAGTTCCATTGTCACGCGTCATGTTTTTAAGAAACTACCGAGTAACGCGGAAAGCGCGATATCAACTTCTGTACCTGATCAAAAGACGTTGCTGTGCCTTGGTTCGTCGGCTACTAAAACCCATAGTACAAACATCTCGATACGCATGGGTCTGTACGAGTCGTCGCATAATTCGCAGGACGCGAAAAAGAGCGTCCCGACGATGTTGCAGAAGCCTTCCAAGCCGATCGACATCACTATTCGTACGGCATTGGATATGGAGGGTAGTCGCTTGACACCCAAGGAGGATACCAAGCCTATCGAGAAGACAAATGTGGACAAGGCGCGAGTGAATTCTCGGCCGAGTGAAAACGTATCCTATAACGGGCATGTCGTAGCTGATAACACAAATACCTCTCCGTTGAACAAACGTAGGGAAAATTTGTCGTCGATAGTCGTAAATTCGTCAGAACATTCTTATTGCATATCTTCGTCGTTAGATAGTTCCAAGAATAGTGCAAATACTACGATCGAGCGTAAGGAACAACTTCAAAATGCTCAATGTCAGGATGTACAAAACTTGAATACCGATAATGAACCGACACAGAAATCGAATTCCAGGAATGAATCGCTGAGGAATTCGGTTGCGACGTACGAAAGAATCTCTGAATGCCACGACGCTTTGGAGATACCGAGTGAATCTCTCTGCGCGCAAAACATCAAATCCTTGGACTCCTTGACGCCGGATAAAATTTTAAACTTGATCAATAAGGAAATACATCATCCCATGTCCAAGTTACTGATCGGAAATGTGATAGGGCTGACGACCGAAGAATGCGCGATGTGGAACGCGTCGAAAAGAGAAACCACTCCGGAGATCAAGAGCAAGAAGCACGTGCCGACGAACGTAAATCTTAGGAAGAGGCGCAAAGAAACGGACAACATAAAGGAAAACGTTGCGTGTTTGGACAACAGAAGATACTGTAGATATTCCAAATCCGAAAGATTATTTTGGAAAGTAACCAAGCAAGCGGATGGAGACAAATTCGAAAACTTGCTACCCGATTTGGATCGCCAATCCTGTAACGACGCGAATCAGAAACGTAATAATACCGTTAGGAGGAGCGATCGAAATTGCATGCCCAAGAAGAACAACGAGTACTTATCACCGTTTCGTGTACAGAATTCGCTTCAGACTATCGCGCAACACACTCGCAGTTCGTACGACATAAAAACCCGTCTAAGGACTGACAAGAAAGCAGTATTGGTAAAGCCGAAGTTTCCCGACCCGTCGATCAAGAAGACCAAGTACAAGAAACGAGATAGGGAAATTGCCAACTTGTCGATAGACGCTAATTTCGGTCCCGCGACACGTGGACCGAGGAACAGGAGATTACGATGCAGAAATAATGTATACACAAACTATTGTAATACCTTCAATACCGTAATATATTCGTCCAACAAGCGATACAAGTCTAGTTTTAAACGGAAGAGCAAACTGACCAAAGTCAATCGTCAACGCGCCGGGGAGAAACAAACGAAAAATAAGTATAGGATGACCAATACCGTGCACGCAAATGGCAAGAATATTAACAGTTCAATTGAGAAGCAAAAAAATCTTAGAAATAATCTTAGTAACGATAATAATGAAAATAGCAACAATCATAACAATAACAACGTCAGCAACAAGAAGAAAGAGAATGAAACCATAACAGCTGATCACGACGTCACCAAGACTTCCTTCGACAGGAGCCTTCGAAACAGGCTGATACGGACAATTCCTTTATCACATCGTACTGCTCAACCGCGTTTACACTGCTTTCGCAAAAAACAGGACGAGAAACCCAGCACGATGGATGCGACGACGCAGTGCAGACTTATCTCCGATAATCCGGAAGTTTATGTTATTGGACAGTTAAACGATCAAAGAGCTATCTTGAAGATGGAGTGGGATAAATTGGAGAAACTGAAGGAATCCGTGTTGGATGTGTGCGATCAAGGATCCCAGGTTCAAACGTTGCGAATCTGCGCTGCTTCGCTCACAGGGGATAACACGAGTCGCAAAAGCGACGCGGACTTCCTACAGGATAGAGCGTCGGCTTTTGTGCCAGTGAATGCATTCGACAGCGATCTACGGATAGCACGGCTAAGATCGATCGGCTTTAAACCTATAATTAATCCGCAATCTTCGCTGGCTGCCCACGACTTGCAGATCATTCAGAATGCGTTTGTAACTACGAGCAAAGTGACGAAGCGCGACGTCGCTGAAGAGTATCACAAGTACGCGAATAACGAGGATACCAACGCAGTCGTTTATATGGATGACGAACTACAGTATCAAGATATCGAAGAAGAGGAGGAAGACGATGAGAAACAATTAACTGCAAGCACGTCGCTAAAGTCAACATTAAGAGGAGTACAATTGAAAACCGGTAACATGCTTCCGGAAACACTAACCTCGCGCGAAAACTTGGAATCCCCTTGGCATGGCTGGAAGAAAATTGTGACAAATAATCAATCGTATTGGATCGGTTGGTAGTCGATGATAGATCGTAGGATATTGGTAAATTCAAATAAGGGTGCTTTCGCTATTGCGATCAGAAAAATGAACCGTTTTATCCAAACGTGTACAATATTATATCTTTATTTTTTGCCAAAAAGTAAAGGCTGTTAATAACATTCTAAATTATTCTTCTAACAGTAATAATACGGTATTCGAGTTGATTAACATATTTTTAAGAAAAAAAAGCATCGACATGTGTAATTAAAATTTCTTATATATACATATAAATTATTCTATATATATATATGTATATTTTCTATATATGAGGTATTATTAACAGATGTTTTAATTGTAAATAAATAATGTTCTATTCATGTAGTTGTGTCTTATCTTTATTACGAGATGTAATAGGACAATAAAATTTGTTTACAGATTTACACGTTCACTTCGTTCTTAAATGGCGACGAAAGATTTCGGCACACTGTGCTGTCATATAAAATAGATCTTTGTTAGCTTGGCTCGTCTCTTATGCTTTTAAAAAAAATATTGAGGATTATACACAGTTGTACACATAAGACACCGAATACCAAATGTTTATATCTGACACCATGCTCATCGATCGTCTTTTTCTCGCGCATATAATATTGTTATGTATCTTTTTGTTTTTTTTTCTTTTATATCGAAAGGCTTCCGTCGAGAAGGAAAACTCGCTTCAACTTCTCCGCATTTTCAGATCTAATCTACCTCGGTGATATATACACGTACATTTCGTAAGAAATCAAGGAAAGAGAATGATTTTGCGGAAGGACGCAAATATTCCTGTGGCTCGCGAGGCTTCCAATAAGCACGAATGCGAAATTGTAAAAATCAAAGTCCACTAAATGCAAACGCGTAAATAAAAACAGATACAAAAGTGTAAACAAGTGTCGATGCTTACGTACGACCAGTACTTTGAGAAAGTGCGATATCGCGCGTGAAATTAAGTACTATACAATTACTTTTTTCTTATTTATTACGAAGAGCAAGCATTATCGTGCACTTAATACTTCTTGCAGTGTCGTAGTAGAGCCACGGGTGTACGAATAACACTGCCTCAAACTGTTCAGCATAGTAAAATAAATATCTTCTATACTATTTCTTTACTCGTATGTTATAACATAATACATATATTAACATGGATGTAACATTATGGAACTATTACAGTGAAACGTAATGCGCTTTTATGCCCTGCGCAATGTCCCTTTTTCCCTTTCTTAAGGTCTGCAAGAAAGTTCTTATTTAATTAAATTCGCTTCATGCGAATTCCTTAAAACATATCGTTTTTCTCTTGCATCCTCCTCCTCTTCGAAAGCAGATTTCTAAAAATTTATGGAAGTTTCGAGTTGTAATATTTGTCGATACGATTCTCGAGCGTAAATCACATTTCCCCGAACGACGTCCGTGCCTTATTGAAATTCATCGTCGCTGCTCAGCAACATCGTTTTCTCGTTATAATTTTGCGAAATCGTTGCGACACGCTGGTGAGAGGTGTTTCGCCTTTGAGGTGGTGGTACCGGCATGTTTTGCGGATCATCCGGATCGAAGCTGGATACTCGCATACCACGTTGTCCTTTTGGGCCCCCTAGTTGTTACATCATTGTTACACATTACAGTGAGTAAACACCAGATACGCGTGTCCGTTGGCCAATAAATGCGCCAAAATTGACTAATCGGTCCCTTTATATTAATTTTTTTAAATACTAATTCAATGCCTTCATATTAATTTCACAATTATATGACCGAATACACCAGCGTTGTACCAATCCTTTCCAAAATGTCACATTTACATCTCGAACGTTCTTGCTCTGGAACTGCGTTTACAAAATCAAGGCTCGAAATCGGTATAATTCTGGCAAGTTCAATTTCCTATGTTATACAGAGAGAATCCTCATTTAAAAGGACTATTAAATTCCTATCGAAATTCGTTCACCGGTATCTAAACTCGGTGTAATTTTGGTAATTTCGAACTCTACACGACAACCATCTACACGATAACGCATATCGAGCTGCTCAAGAGGCTTAATCAGAGCAACAAAGTTCGAATTCTTACGTATACACATGATACAAAGGTGCAAGAGAAAAAAATATATTAATGCGATATCGCAATCGATTCATGCAAATTATTATTAATATAAAAAAATAATCGCAAGCAGCTAGGATTGTGATCATTTTACCATTGTCAATGTATGCTATACCTGTGGGAAAAAGAACATAATGTGCTTTACATGCTCCGGCCGTTTCATACCGTATATTCGCATGCTACATGGTACCATGTGATAGGAATATAAAATAGAAGCAATACAATTAAATTGAGTTATAATGTTATAGAAAAAAAAAACAAAAAAAAACATTACACTAATGCTTAGGATCCGGTCCACTTGATGCTACAAAACCTTTGAAAAATTTTTCTGATTGATCTATTAGTAAAATTCTTTTTTGTGATTGATCAATCAGATGCTTCAAAGCGTTTGTAGCGTTAAATGAACTGTACCCCTAATCATCTTTTACATTCATTATAGAGCAACACTATAGAAGTAGGCTATTCTCTCTCCCTCTCCCCGTTTTTCTTCCTTTCTCTTTCCTAAATGCTTATGTTAAGTGCTTAACTTCTATTTTACAGCAGAGTTTGTTAATCGCAAAATAGATGATCTTATATGCATATATAATACGTATATATCGATGGTATATTAAGTACAACCCTTATTCTGTAATTTCAGCGGAGAATTCATTTTTGAGAAATTGACCCTTTGTGGACAGATACCGATCTCTAAGGCATTGTATAATTCCGTAAGCAAAGTATAGTGCTGTATGAAGTATCTTTCTTTTCGATCTTCATTTAAAGTCGCGCATAAAGCTCGATGTCCAATTTCTTGAAATTAAAAAAGTGACGCCTCACTGTCATATCTTTTCGTACGGCAAGTTGGTACTAACGTCTGAAAAATATGAAACAAAAGTGCCTTCAAAGTAATTGTCTGAATCTAATAAATCGGCACACAGGGAAATTTTATATAATTAATCTTTTATACAAGTAAAATGATTATAAATATTATTAGAGGACTATCTTTGAAAGCAGATTCTATACTACCCGTGAATTTCGCATTTGCTTGAAACTTGCGTGAACTTTGCTATATATACATATGTGAGTGGATATTAATGTAATATCGGTGCCTGCATTGATCAGCAGTGAAGTGTCAGAAAGAGTACAATTATATACAAAAGCGCCAAAGCCTGTAACTGAAGCGTTTGCAATCTCGAATAAAACGTGTATCTTGTGTAACTATTATTGGCATTATTGGCATTACATGTCAGATAATCTTGCTCTATAATTAGAACATTCAGTATCACCGCCTTATTTTAACATGACATTTTCTTATGAATGCATGAGGAAAAATAATAACTGTATGTGAGACAATACATACAAAAACTTAAATAAACGACATAAATTTTATATCGCACACTATCATGCTGTATGAAAATTCATAAACATATCGATAATAAAAATAAATAAAAATGTACATATATAGTAGTTAAATAATTATATAGCAATACTTAAAAAAAACTAGCACAAAAAATAACACATACCTGCGCTATATTGAGTATACTGCTGATATTGTGGATGGAAATTATGGATGGCATCGGTCATAATGTCTTTTGGATTCATCGTTTCCTACAAAATATTATTGTCCAATAAAGTATTAAATCAACGACAAAAAAAAATATATATTTCTGTAAAAAGTTCAGAAATATTGTATACGTACTTTCAAACTGCTACTAATACTTTGCATCGTCACGCTTCTACCCCTGGAGTCGGTAACACATCCAGCTGCGTATACTTGATACGGGAACGCGTAACGTAAAGCTATAGCAGCGAATAACATTTCGATACAAATGAGGAAATTTTGGTAACCAGCGGAAACTGTGCCAGCACTCGTTGATTGACCCAGACTGTTTATAACGGGTGAAATGACATTTGCTTTCTCCAAGATAGCTAACAGTACTCCTGAATTAAAAAAGTATTTGTTGCAATTGTTATCAGTTACTTAATGCACGCACCTAGAAATGCTTAATTTCAGATGTTACCTTGCCAGAATGACAAAAAGATGACGCTCTTGACTGTACAAAACTTGAGCACAGGCTCAAACGGCGTCAGCAGGTCTCTCGTAGCGAAGTAGAACAAAAACAACCCATAAAGTGCAAGCGATACACTGATGTTGTAAATTATCGTGATGTAAATGTAGCCACCGTCGGGTGACCAATCTCCGTCTCTGTAATGACCGAAGGCTTGCAGAAATATGATGACAAACGCCATCACTGGTTTAACCAAGCAGAACTGTAAAGTGGCTTGCTTGCAGAATCTTAGAAATCCGATGGTATAAGTTTTTCCAACCAGGCAACAGGTACCATACAGGCAACTGGAGCGTATCGGCTTGCCCCTGATTTCGGACATGATGTTGCCCTCACCACCTAGGTACTCGTAGCATAGTGACAGGAAATTATATATAACAAATGCCTCATAACAGTCCCGCACCGTGAAGAAGTAAACGTAGTAGCTCTCGCTGTTGAAGAACAACAGCGAGATCCAGGAGTAGATGGCGTAAATGGGCACGATGAACAAAATTCGCACTATCCATCTCTGCTCCGTAGGATTTGTGTACCACCTCAGATGCTGATAAATCTATAAATAATGAGAAAAGAGAGAAGTGACTGCATCGCAAATCAAGCATCTCAAGCCTAATCTACAATGCGTTCTTTGCTTCCTGTTTCTTGCTTTTTATCATTTTTTTACCCCTTGCCTTTTTGCCTCTTTCTAGCTCTAAAAATTAGAAAAAGATGAAGAATAAGATAAATCGAGATTAACATTAATCTATATTAGAAACAAGCATAAGCCCAGTTCCACCAATATAAGATTAACTTTAATCTCGGTTAAAATTTCACTACTTATCTTTTTCTAATTCTTAGAAAATAATAAAAAATTCCAAGAATTAGAAGATGAAAAATAAATTGAACCAAAATTATAGTTAATCTTACATGGATGGAACCAGGCCTTAATTCTGTTTCTTCACGTTCTGTCACCCGAGATAAGAGTTGACGAACTTCGGAAGAGACAAGAAACGCACAATTGTCGATAAAACGGTTGCAAAGGAAAAAGGCAAGAGGTAAAAACCAAGAAACAAGAAGCAAAAAAGGATAGGCATATTCTATTGACAGTTCCATACCTGTTGGCAAGTGAAGAAAAGCGCTACAGCCATAAACACCCCGGCGATGGCCCAGGCTGCGCGGGTCTGCAGGAAGATCGGCGTCCCCTCCTTGGGGAGATCCACCGCCAAGTCGCTGACATCGGTGGTCGTTGACATCTTGTCAAGTGGATTCACGTACGTGGCGTGCGTCCCCGCGGTGACCCCGACACCATTCATACGTCAACCTGCTGATGGTACAATTGCGCGCAAATACAGAGGATTATTTCCGCGACGGAGGACGGCGAGATGTGACGTGTTTCCGCGTCGAATCCGTCACGACGTTCGACGAGCAGAAATCATCGCGATCGCGTAATTTCACGAGGACGCTCGTGGAGGAGGGGAACGGGGGGAGGTTGGGAAGGTCGGAGGAGCGGAAGGGGGAGGAGGACAAAGAGGAAGGAGAGAAAGAAAGCGCGTGCGACTCGCGCGAACGCGAGACGGACGCTCGCGCGTAAATCGATATACACGTACGTGCATAAACGGAAGATCGCGAATCTCTGGGGGTTTTTAAAAGGAAAACACAGGCGCGGCTGAAGAGGGAGAGAAAAAATCCCCGAGGGACTCTATACGTCACTCGTCGCGTTGACGCATTGTAAACCGTAAACATAAGGCTCGTTCTCACATGACGTTGATACTTGCTAATTCAGTGGAATCGAGTCGATTTGTATCAAGGTGTATCAAGGTGTATCGAGATGATTCGCGCAACAATCCGTGTCGGATCGCGCTGACGCAAGTCTCGCGGATTCTTTTCTCTCTCTCTCTCTCTCTCTCTCTCTTTCGCTCACTCTCTTTCAGCAACGTACCCGTGCCCCCATTCGCCAAGTCCTCTCCAGATTTTGCAGCATACGCACACTCGGGGTACCCTCTCTCCGCTAACTGTCCCGTTTACGTCGCCTCTTTCGGCTCCTTTTGGGAGCTTTCGACACGGAGGTGACTGCAGCAGCTGCCAGTCTTTATTATCAATAAATCGCGCGCCTCGAACGAACCACGCTCGGTTCACTCGGCTGCTCCGTCAGCTCCGCGAGAGCTATATCTCAACTCGACTACCTGAAGTCGACCGCGATCTCGACTGGCGACCAACACCACGACGACGCGAGGTTCAGCGACGTACAGTACGCGTACGGTACACGCGCACACACATACACACGCACATACACCGTATATAAACGCAACTACGTGGAAAATTGATTGCCCCTCCGGAACTCTTGGCGTTTACGGCTTCTACTACTCGCACTCGCGCACTCTCGCGCTTGACATTCTTCGTCCACGGGTTATCGTCCGCCTCCGGTCCCCTCTCGAAGCATAGAACGCGCGCTGGCCAAGTCCACAAGGGACGAGAATGGATCACGGACGAATCGTTTTCCCTTTCGCGAGATTCTCCGCGCGCGAGAAACGCGAGGACGACGATCGCGAACGATGCGAACCTGTTTTCCCCGAACGAGCCAACCCTTCGCCGTCGTCGCCGCCGCCGATCCCGCGAACGGTTTCACTCCTACCACGCGTGCGTGCACCGATTATGTGTGTCCGCTGCCCCCGCATCCCCCGTCCGTCCCATTCGGGAAGCTGGGAAATCGTTTCCGCGCAAGGCGGCGCGACTCCCGTTTTCTCTCTCTTTATTTCTCTCATCTGCACTTTCTGCGTTTAAATTGAAACACGACTACGGCTATAAAAGAAAATCGAAGGAAAAAAATATGTTTCTTTTCGAACGAAGAACCCAAACAGCACAGAATATTTATGATAAATGTTTATTAATATTTATTTTGTGAAATGTTATATAGATATTTCATACATATTTTATATTAAGCTTTATTCGAAGCATTATTAAAATATAGACTAAATATTTTATGTAATATTTATGATGAATATAAATAAATATATTTTTAATAAGTATTTTTTACTTGGATTATGATTCATTAAGTATCTTCACAGCATTTACTATAATATGTACAATAAATATTTCATAATATTTAAAATAAATGTTTACGGTCTGTGCAATCTAAGACCACAAAAATATATTTACAAAATATTTAAAATAAATCTTGTAAATATTTTATAAATATTGTATGCCGTCTGGGATAGGCGCGATTAAAAGTAGATCTCCGGGTATCACTGCTGCAAAAAAAGTATCGATATCAATAATCCGGTAATTAAACGGGATAGTCCTGCTTTCAAGATCACAATTAGTTACGCTATCCCGTCAAAATATGAATAATAATTATATTAGTTTTTAAAAATAAATTATTATTGTATTTATTTTTACATAAATTATAGATTCTCCTCCATCCCTTCAAAATAAAATCCCGTTTGAAAATATTCGCAAGTCATATTAAATATAATATCCATTCAATGTTATAATAAGTATAGTAGAACAGATGTAAGATGTACATAACAGTTACATTGTTGAGTAGGAAATTATAATATATTCCAGACAGCACACAATATTTATAAAATATTTACAAAATATTTATAAATATTTATAAGACTTATTTTAAATATTTTGTAAATATTTT